CCCCCCAAGCAGACATCAGAAACTCTCCCCCCCAAGCAGACATCAGAAACTCTCCCCCAAGCCCCCTCACCTGCTTTCATCCGTGCAGGGAGGAGACACATCTTCATTCCCTGATGATCTAGCGGTGATCACTAGTAAGGTCTGCGCTAGACCTTACTAGTGATCCATCATTCGGCCGGAGCTCAGAACTGACAGAGCTCCGGCCGAAGCTGACAGGAGCTGCTCCTGCAAGTCGGGCCGTGTGTCAGCTAGCAAGAGACCGTGCCGTGCATTGAAGCTGTACGGCAGCGGTCGATTTAAAGGGGAATCAACGGGGGGGCACACGGCTATGGTTGTAACCCTCTCTAACTCTATTTAAAACTACAAAAAATGCTTTGTCTTCAGTTCTACTTTAAGCTCTAATTAATCTACAGGGAGTGAAGGGGGTCTACACAGGGCCAATACAGGTACTTGCACTGCTTCCATTTAAAAAACAATAATGGGGTATTAATGATTACCGAGCTGCATTCATTACATTACATAGTTACGTAGATAGGTTTAAAAAAAAGATACAAGTCCATCGAGTTCAAATTCAACATCAAATTATGGGTAATATGCTTTAAGCGAACATTATTATAGTTTTGTTATTATACTGTATATACACTTTGGACTTTATTTAACGTTGTGTGGCAAAAAGATATTTGAACTAACAGTGCATATTTCAGGAAGAGCTTTTTAGACAACTACAATGACTTTTAATGAGATTGTGACCTAATTAGGAGGGTAGTTCTCTTAGAAATGAAAAAATATGGTTAGTGTAAGCAAACGTAACTCTGAACATTGCAATTTACTTGAAGTGAAAGTGTTGTAACTCATATCTTAAGTTAGTATTGCAATGTTTGCTCTACAGTTATTTTTGATGTGGCTTTCACATTTACATGATTGTGCTTCCATATTTGTGCATTAAATGTAGAGATTTAGAGGTTAGCCAATAGAGGGAGCCATGATCATCGTTCTACCGACCTCCTTAAAGTGGACCTCTGCATGCTGATATGAAATTATCTTACAATGATTAGTTAAACATGTTTTTATTTTACTTACAATTACTGATTTTCCACTTCCTGGTCCTCTTAGGCAATAGCGATGTAGCACATGCCTAAGAGTTGCATCCTGGGAAAGTTACATCACAGTGCATTGCCGAGAAATCTAATTTGTAAGCTGCAAAATCTTGTGAAATCTCAGGGAAAAGCATTTGTTTCCCCTGAGATGATGTGCATGGTCACATGTCCCAGTCACATTTGCCAGAATTCCAGGAAGTAAAGGAAGATATATTAATCTGCCCTTAGTAAAAATGGCCACTGTCAGAAGACTGGGGAAGAAAAGAAAAATAAGGTATACAAACAAGACAAAGTATTTGTTTGTAGATTGTCATTACTAAACATTTCTAAAGGTGCGTTTGTTGTTATTTTAAAGATAAGGGTAAAGTTCCACCTTTACGGCGGTTGAGATTAGATGTCAGCCTTATAAAGAGAGCAGTGGTGTAACAATCGCCATAGCGACCCAGGCGGCCTCTATGGGGCCCGGGGCACAGGGGAGCAAAGGGGGCCGGCCAGATGCCGTGCGGGCCGCCTGGGTCGCTATGGCATCTTATGCTGGTGGTTTTCACTGGCGGCTGTGAGAAGAATGCACTGCTGTTCAGATCACTGTCAGTGATCTATGCAGCAGCGCGTTCTTCTCACAACCGCTGCAGAGTTAATGAGAGCCAGCAGCGGCGGTGGAGCAGGCTGGACCCGGCAGAGGAGGCGGGGCTCGTGGTCGGCAGCAGAGGAGGAGGCGGGGCCCGATGACAGAGAAGGAGGAGGCGGGGCCTATCAGCGATCGTGCAGGAAGAGGAGGCGGACAGGTAAGGAGTGTGACCGGCCCACCTGAGGGTGACCCTGCAGAGCCCATCATAGAGGTCACCCTCAGGTGGGCTGCGTGGGATCTCAAGTGGGCTCTGCAAGGGGCATAACTAGAAGTCACAGGGCCCCATACAAAATTTTGCTATGGGACCCTGTGATTTTTAGTTATGCCCCTGAAGAGAGCATTTGTTTCCAACTTATTGGACTTGTATCATAGGACCAAGCAGTAAAGCACAACCACTTTGTAGCACTGCAAATCAAGGAGCAGAGCCCTTCTATGTATTGTACTTAAAACAACACAGATTGACAAGATTATATATATTACGGATCTCTTTCACAGGTACATCAAAATTAGTTGAAATATTAAATGCATTTCCATATGTTCTTTACCCTGAGAGTGGTAAAAGAGGTTGTAAAGGACAACCTTAGTGAAAGTGGAGTTGTTTTTTGATAATAATGTAAAAGTGCACATATACTCTAAAACACACACACGCATTAAAACACACGCATCACACACACACACGCAATAAAACACACACAACACACACACAACACACACGCAATAAAACACACATCTTCATTAAAAAAAAACACACACTCATTAAAAAACAAACACCTAATAAAACACACATCAGACACATACAGAACTATTAACAATAAAAATGAATAATTACAACAATGCCCCCTCTCCTGTTTACCTGTTTTGCAGGGAGGGGACCTACATCCCTGGGGTCACATGGGGCACTGAGGGCATATCCTGGTAATCCAGCGAAGGATCAGTGTGATCTGCATCTCTGGCTGATTCAGACCATACTAATTGCTCCTGCCAGAGATCAATGTCACTACGAGGGAGCAGTCAGTATGGTCTGCATCAGCAAGAGATGCAGATCATACTTATCCTCCACTGGACCACCATGAGATGATTTTTATTTAATATATTGCCGGATCGGCAATATATTAAATAGGATCTGGGCACCGGCCACGTTTAAAGATGGCCATAGCTATTCGCGGCGACCCCAGGTGAGAACCGGCAACCAGGCTCGCTGGTCTAGTCTATACTATGTTACACAACATAAGCATTCCACCGAGCAATGAAGGTCGCACTGTACCTGGTGAAGAAGCCAATGAAGGGTCTGGAGTTCGGGATGGTGTCTTCTGCATGTCCAGTTCCAAAGCAAGTGCTGGTAGCACTTCAAGATAGAAATCACTTTTAATTGATTTGTTAAAGGCTATAGAAACCAAAGGTATAATCCATTAAAAAGTGACACACACTTCAATATTAACAGTATTATGTAACAAGTGCAACCTGAGGTGTTATTTTGGTATAATAGGACAGAAATTACAGAAAATTACATCTACACAGACACACTGTAAAGGAACATAAAAATGTTTTACTGCACACCCGTGGGACATCATTTCTCACAGCCAGACCATTCTATGGAAGACATGAATGATTTAGTTCTTAAGGGGAATTTAAAAATAATCAGGAAAGGTAGATCTTTCTCAGTTTACTAAACCATAATCACATAGTCTTATGACCATTCTCATCTCTAAGTCTCTTAAGCTGGGTACAGTGGCATCACAAGGGGAAGTGCGGGGGATGCGGCCCACACCCAGGTGCCACCATTGGAGGGAGGACACCAAAATGACTGGCTGTCATTTTGGTGTCACCCCCTCGGGGGGGCAAGGCATAAGCTAGGGGGGGCAATTGCCCCCCTGTAGAGACGCCTATGCCCCCCTATGAAAAGTCTGGCTCTCGGTCCGTGACCGAGTTTCAGGAGAAAGGAGGGACCCGGCAGCATAACTCATTCCGCCGGGTGAACGTCCCGTGATGGACGCCGGCAGGCGTCAATAGCGGTGGGGTGTCACCCAGTCTCCGCTCCGTGTGACACCCAGCTTTAGGACGCCCCTGGCTGGGTACGCATGGAGTGAAATTCAATCCGATGGTGGCCCTATGTTCTCAACAGAAATCCATCATTAGATTGACTTTTGCTGAAGGAACATCCTGGAAAGTCATTGACCAAACGGTCTTTGCCACCAGTCAGCTGCAAGCAATGTTTGGGTATTCTGAGTGTCCGGCACAGCTGGCAGAATACAGTTTACACAGTGGGCGATCATCCATCTATTCTGTTTGGCATGGATGGAGGAATCTGTCATATCCTGTTCATTCGCCTGCAAAACTGAACGAAAAAAATGTAACCGTGTTTACCCAGCTTTACTCCCACCTCCCATTCCATAGCCCACTCTTTTCCTTATGGTCCTTTATTCTAGTTTTTTTACTCTATTTGTGTGTCTTTCTGTTAGAGGGATGTTAGCTTACCTTCTGTCCTGGTAACAATGGTTTTACCAGAGAGGAAGTGAGGGAAAATCTGCAACAGGGACACTAACAGCAATAAAAGGGGTTTTATTTCTATCCATATTACTGTTGTTGATTCCCCTTTACTTTCTGTCTGGTCCTCACAGTATGTGAAATCAGAGCAACCTAACAGAGCCCCTGATAGCAGTAAGAAACATACAGGGTTACTAAACGTTCACCACTCTATAGGGCTGGACATAATTACATATCTGTGACAACTTGGTAAGTATTTTACAGTAACATGTTGAGATAACAAACATCTAACAATGGCATGCTGCCGGCATACATACAGTAATCGTGTAACCAGGGCCGGCCTTAGGCCTTTAGGCGCCCTGTGCGAGAAAGCTTTACAGCGCCCCTCAGTGACCACACCCCTCAGTGACCACACCCTCAGTAACCACACCCATTTATTACCCATATTTTTGGTAAAATATAAAAAGCGGGGTCACGTCGGGTAAATAGACACCAAACATGTCATGCTTTAAAATTGCGCGCACCCGCAAAATCGCAAAAAATTACCATGCCCAAAATTGACCATAGGTGACGCTTTAAAAGCTTTTACCGCTCATCAGTTTAGTGTTATCAGTGATTGATGGCCCTACAATTATTGCTCTCATTCCGACGTTCGCGACGATATGTAACATGTGCGGCGTAATGGGCGAAATCGTCGTTTTCACACGTATGCGCACCCGACGCCTGTTTGCATGCATGTATGTATGGGGGGGACTTTATCGCTGGCCGTATGTGCATTGTTTGTGCGCTGGCCGTATGTGCATTGTTTGTGCGCTGGCCGTATGTGCATTGTTTGTGCGCTGGCCGTATGTGCATTGTTTGTGCGCTGGCCGTATGTGCATTGTTTGTGCGCTGGCCGTATGTGCATTGTTTGTGCGCTGGCCGTATGTGCATTGTTTGTGCTCTGGCTGTATGTGCATTGTTTGTGCGCCGGCCGTATGTGCATTGTGTGTGCGCTGGCCGTATGTGCATTGTGTGTGCTCTGGCTGTATGTGCATTGTTTGTGCTCTGGCTGTATGTGCATTGTTTGTGCTCCGGGTGTATGTGCATTGTTTGTGCTCCGGGTGTATGTGCATTGTTTGCGCTCTGGCTGTATGTGCATTGTTTGTTTTTGTAGATGGTAGATCCATGTGCGAGGTGCCAATCTTGAAGTGTTCTGAAAATGGAAGACCATGCACTAAGGCTCACCAGATAAAGGCTTGTTTTCCTTACAACTAATGGCTATACTGTACAATTCACCTATACAGTCATTGCTAAAGGATAGTATGGGACTGTTCTTGAGCGCAGGAAGGCTATTTTATACCCTGTATGGTGAAACGGCATCATGCACTATGAGAGCCATTATATTTCAGTGGCCATTCTTCAGCACATGAAGCACTATAAACCGTAGGGGTGAGTACCACTTACAAATTGGATTTTTGGGTGTGATGACCCTTCCATGTCCCTATCAAAAATGAATACTGCAAAAATCTCCTTTTAAACATTACAATATATTTTTTTCTACCCTGCTTACCTTTAGATTCCATGCCAGGCTCAGGCATTACTTCATAAGCATAGTCATATTCTGCAGACTCCATATTGCCTACATTTAAACAAAACAGCAGTTTTAAGATGTACTCTTCACCGGGGGGGTTTGCGGGTGGACATAACATTTGTGCAGACAGTACAGCTGCACAGGGTCCCTTTCTGGGTCCTGAATAAGTGAAAACACTTACTGTGTATCGATTGACAGCTAGATAGAAGGGAGTATTGACCAGGTCTATGTAACAGTGGGTCAAACGGTTGCTAGGACCTCTCCCATTGTCACATAGGCCTAGTCATGGCTCAGTTCTGTGTAGCCTCAATTGATACAAAGTGAATTATTTTACTTAATCAGTAACTGAATGGGGCCCTAAAAATTGTTCTTGCACAAAGGGGATTTGGTGGCTCTGTCTGCCACTGCAGCTCACACAATACTGGTGATGAGTAAATGAGGCACAGGCATTAGTAAGCAGATAGTAGGTAACAGCAATGAAGACCAGAGAAATATTGGTAGTAGAGTACTTTCTTTACCAGATCGATATTCTGATGGCTTCTCTTTTCTAACTGGAATCGGTGGGGGAGGGTTCTGCAGATTCATTTTAAAGGCAGCAGATGGTGTACATATGCCTGGAAGACAACAGAAACAAGATGAAGAATATATATACATATATGGCTACATTTTCTAAATTCTGACACTTTCCATGGTTAAAAATGAATATCATATACTGTCTTGACAATATGGCAACAGCACTTTCATGCACACAATTAAAAAAAATACTATTCTAACTCTTGTTTTGAAAATAATTCTGCTAAGGCCAGTTTCACACCTGCACACGATACCGCGCGGATTGCCATGCGGTCACGGAGTTGCCCATCACCGCCGATCGCGCTGGTGGTGTCACTATTTTCTAATGGTACCCCAGTCGCGCTGGGCGGATTGGGCAGTTTCCCGCGCGACTCCGCCTGTGCAATCGAACACGATCACAGCTAAAACAGCCGCGTGTCATGTGTCACAAAGAAAGGTACATGTACCTTTATTCTGCGATTGCTGCGTGGATGTAACCATATTGAAATTAATGAAATCCTGGGATGCTCATCCCAGATCGCCCAGGTCTGCACCAGCCCTAAGACAGGCGCCACTGTACACAAGTTTCAAGTATAGCTTTTCTGTGTTGTTACCTCACAAGGAACATTTTAGATGGAAGGTCTAAACTAGAAATCTCAGCTTACACAAGGCAAAGACACAAAGTATTCAAAATACTTAACTTGTAGATTTTTTTTCAAAGGGAAGCTATAATGATTTTTGCTAAAACTAACTTTTCTTTTTTTAAAGTGTATATCTAGCCAAACTGTTTTTCTAGTTTTGGAAAGAATGAGGAAGGATTTAAACCTCTGTCAGGTTTTATTGCAATCTAGGGCTCCAATTGAAAAATTACCTTTTGATTAGTGATAAGTGAGCTGGCCTGGGTTTAGCAAATTTTCAAGCAAATAGTACCCAGGGCTGTCTGTGTCCTAGCAACCAAAGATCCTGGGTGTCCCGCACAGCATCATTGGTTGCTAAGACACTGGCGGCCCCACATCATAGGTTGCACCCACCTGCATCCTAGAAACTAAACAAGCTGTGTGGCCCAGCTACTAGCATCCTAGCAACCAATGACACTGCATCATTGGTTGCTAGGACAAAGATAGAGGTTGCCGGATAAGCAAACTGGTCAAATTGTCAATTGAACTGCAAAATAGCTTGGGTTCAGGTCGAGCACATGGTTGACCTGAACCCAAAGCTCATCTCTACCATCACTGGGTTTGGGTTTTGGGTTCAGATCTCACTCTGGCTTCACTTGCTGTGTGCTTACCCAGAAAGCACTGAAATCAGCAGCCTTCTGATTTTCCTTGTTGCTTGGTTTCACATGACCATTTTAGAGATCACAGAAAAACCAAACACTGAACAGAGTCAGCATACCTCTATTGGTTGAGGAAGGCTTTGTCTTGCGTTCTGGAACAGGAGGTGGTGTCTTCCGTTCTGGTTTTGGGGATGATGGTAACTGGAAACCTTGGTATACATTTGTTTCCAGAGACAGTCTGTTATGTGCCAACTGCTGCGGCAGCTCTAAAGGTGAACACAGAGTTCGATGAGGTTAGAGTCTAGCTTACCTTGACATATGCAGCAACTTCTACTCCCATTAACATTGGGCTTATGGCACTGTGATATATTTATAGAAGTGCTACATATACTTTTTAAATAAGTAACAGTTCCCAAACATTTTTTTTTTAAATGCAGAAAATTGTTATGTTTAGTCAATTCCCTCTATAACAACTATATTCATTGTAGTCTTGTCAATGATGATATATGTAAATTTACCTTACTTTAAAACTTACCATTTGCCTTTCCGGGTGATGCAGAATCTGCTTTAGAACTAAAGTTGTCATATGGAGCTAAATCAGGCGCAAGGACACCTAGAATATATTAACAAATAGTAATGGATAAATATATATTTATTACCACATTAATGTAGTATACTAACAATATATGAAATATGTGTAATACTGTATTTTGATTAGAAAATACATTAAGAAATCTATGTATGCACAATTGCCTGGCCAATGCCACTTGGAATGACTTCAGCCTAGGGGCCCTAGGAATGCTGCCTTCTGCAGCTATTCTGTTTTCTTTGCAAGTACAGTGCTGTTTAGATACCAACATTGTATGGCTCCTGACACTGACGGCATTGAATTAAACAGGTAAGAGGAGCAATATAAAAATTAAAGTGAATGTGTATCCTCCATATACCAAGCAGGGGGCTGTTGATTTGGATCCAAAGATGACTGGCTCCAGATCTGGGCCACTTTGTAGTCCGGTTTCTTCCACCTGTTGTAGGTGTAGGCCAACTGCAAAATTATTATGCATTGGTACTGGTTAGAATCACCCCATTAGCTACTCACCTCTTTGCTTCTGAAATTATGGACAGCAGCAAACCTTCTGCCATATTTGTTGGACATGTCTGGTGGTACAGCGAATCTGGACAGAAATTTTCAGAATGCTTACTAAACTCAGGGGCTAAAGGATCCCCTTAAGAGCTATATATGCCCTTCTTAAGATCTGACCTCCATATCTCTTCAAAGTTCAAGCTGATGATCCATGTTCTTACAGCAGCAAAACAGACTATCGGTCAAGCATGGAAATCTGAGACCAGATCAAGAATTACTAACTATGCTGGACAAGAAAATTGAGGCTAGATTGACAGAATGGAGAAGTACTTGGCTATCTAGTACCGTTGGTCTAAGCGCTTTGTTCCGCCAAGGTTTGATGTGCACCTCCTGAACCTCAAACTTGCATCTCCTTTTAAATATTAATTTTTTTTTCTTCTACCCTGCCTACCATTAGGTTTCACACCAGGCTCAAGGACTTCTTCATAAGCATAGTCATATTCCGCAAACTTAATAATGCCTATATTTAAACAAAACCGCATATTTAATTTTATTTTATTTTTTCTAGACAGAGTATATCAACTATAGAGGACTACAAATAAAGTTCCCCACGTCCCCTCTGTTCCCACATCTCTCCTCTAGGAGAGCGGTGTGGGGGTGGAGACAGCCCGCGCTGTCACAGGAGGCTGGGCTCTCCTCCCTGCACCGGTCGCTCAGCCTCCTGTGACAGCTGTCAGTATGGAGAGCGGGTACAAGCAGTCAGTGATCGCTGAGTGTTTGTAAATAATTGAGGACATGGTATGGTTACTATATCCTCAATTATGAATGAGTGGCAAGTGATCTACATCCCCTCCTGTTCATTTATGATTGTGGTTATAGTAAACACACTATGTCCTCATGTTATGAATGGACAGGAACACTCAGTATTTGTTCATTGATAACAGGGGCTGCAGAATAAGACTTTGTGTCCTCCATTTCTTTTCCTATTTTAAAAGGGAAATATCAGGGGTCTATTTAGATCCCTACTATCTCCCCAAAGCTTTTAATTATAATTTTTTACTTATTTTTTCATAAATGTTTATTTTATAATTTATCTTTTTTTTCACTTAACTTTATTGCTATCACAAGAGCTAACAAGCCCCATGTTTGATAGCATTTGGAGGTGACAGGTTCTCTTTATTGAATCTGTCACCCCCCCCAATACAGGAGTACTCCTGTGACAGCTGAGAGGAAGGGCTGCGAGTGCAGCTCTCCCCTCACTGTCTACTCCATCCGGCGTGAAAGGTGGGGGGGCGAACTTCCTGACGGGCACGGGAACTTACCTGTCGCTCCTCTGCTCAGAGAGGCGGCTCTGATCACACCTGTTAGCGCTCCCTCTCTCTCCTCCTGGCCGCTCTGAAGCTGCAGCGGCCGGGAGAGAGGGAGCTCTGACAGGTGTGATCAGAGCCGCCGAAAGCCAGTCGCATTTTTCCACGGGCGCCGTGCCATCCTCTTCTCGCTGGGCCCCCCTGAACTGGCGGAACACCAGGTCCCAGTCACAAGTGCGACTGCTGCGACCCTGGTAGTTACGCCAGTGCATGTTATCCTATCCAATTCATCTAATGTAATGCATTCTCTGGTCCAAAAAAAACATTTTTTTCCAGTTCACTTTTTTCTCTCTCTCCTACTCTAACATTCCAAGGCTAGCAGCATCTGTTACATTCTGACCAACTCGGTACCACACCAGGTAGCTGAAGCTATTCCACCCAAATCTTTTGAAATGTATTTCGAGCTAGCTCCCCTATGTTTTTTTTTTCTAGGTTCAGGGAGAGTGGAAGGATTAAAAGTTGTGTTTGGTTTTGTACTGCTATCTGGTGGTGAGATTTAACCTCACTTCCTGTCCTGCAGACAATGCTTTCACCAAGGTGATAGAAAATCTGCAACAGCAACACATATAAAAATATAATTAAACGTGGAGAAAGGGGAGAAGGAAAAGGGGGTGTTATTGAGGAGTGCCACACCCCTGATTTAAATTGGGAAAGAATGGCGTTATGAAGAGTGGGGTTTTTTAGGCACTCGGAACAGTGGTTCACAAAAGACGTTTTTCTTTATCTAAAAAGTACATTTTATTTGATACATGATTAAAAATTGTACACTAAATAAAAGAGTAGGGAGACAACCTGGAAGGATCACCTCCAATATCCGCCAGTACCTTTTAAATAGTTGAGACTACATTATCATGATTCATTAGGTTATTTCATACATAAATTCCCTTTGTAGGTCGCACTTCCTACAGTATGATTCACGCTTCCTTGTCACCTGGTGAGGAATCTGCAAAAATATTGCAATCTGCAAAAATATTGCAATCTGCAAAAATAGTGCATGTAACATTTTTGCAGCTCGCACTGGACCGGAACGCAGGCATTAATATGCCATGTGTTCAGGTGCGGGTGGGAGGTGTGGCTGCAGTGCCATTGCCTTCAATGCACTGCCACACTCCCTCCCGGCCCTGAACACAGGGGGCCAGCCGGGTTGCGTCGCAGAGGCCGAATGCTCTGGAACGCACTCTTTGTTGTGTGAACTGGCCCTAAGAGGGGGAATAATTTGATTCAGAAATCAAGCTAGCTTACAAGTTCCTGTGCACTGTGCAGTGTTATCCCAATAAGTTTTGTCAACCTGAACAGTTCAGCTCAGTGGACTACAGAATACCTCCCTTGTACATTATGGAGATAGGGAAAGGTATTTTGTAGGTCTAAAACAATTGCTGTCCTGTGGACAATACTGCTTCTTTATAGATATAGTGCAATTAGTGAGCACTGGCTGGATCAACAGGCGAAAATAAATGAAAAATACCCTGAGAAAACTAAAACTAATGCAGTCAACACATCTAAAGACTGAAAGGCTGCAATATATTACATTTGTGTACTTGAGTTTAAATGAACTTTTAAATGAATGTAGAAAATCTGTTCATAACAGCTGAGACAAATGGAAGGGATTGGATAGTGTGATGAAACCTCCTAAAAGTGTATTTCCACTTTTGCAGCCAAACAGGGATAACAGCTTTTTTATGTTTGTTACATGTTCCCATTCACAAAGCATAAGCTAAAATAAAAAACATTTTAAATGCTTTTCGCAGTTTAAATTGCTTTTACTTGGGTTAGGGTTTTAAGGGTTAACATTTCTTCTTGCTTCTATTTCTTTGAAATGTTGGGAGGGGCTGTGAGGGGTGGGGGGTCTGAGGTGGCATTGTGTTCGTGAAGCTCATCAGATAAACACAATCCTCAAATTTCAGTCCTAAGTCTTTCTACCAGTGTAAAAGGGTAAGAAAAACCCAGAATCAGCTATCTTGCCTGATTTATCAAAACAACTAAAAGGTAAGATTTTTTTTTTAAGTTACTTTTCCTTATGCTATGTGAACAGGAACACATAACGGACATATGGAGGAGTTTTCTCAAATGTGACTGCAAAAGTAGAAATACACTTTAAATGTCATGGTTAGTATATCATCCAATACACGCAGAAGTATGATGCGGTCTACAACAGGCTTGCCACAAGCCCAAACATGTAGAGGACATTATTTTTCTATGCAAACGGTCCATCAAGAGAAGTGTCTTTTCAGTGATATGTTCAGTGATATGTTAACATTACCAATGTCTCTATCTATCTGCTTAACAACTGTTGTGATATTTAAAAAAGTATGCCTTCTCTTTATTCTTGCTACTGAATTTGTTTCTTGACTATAATGTTGACCCTCATGCTTTATTTATAACCCTACAAAAAGGTATACAGATAAGGACTTCTAGCTTTACTCTGCATTTCCTAATTTGCATGCTTCTTCAGGGTTAATAATCCTAGTACAGAGGTGGGCAACTCCAGCCCTTCAGCTGTGCTTTAACTACAAATCCCCAAATGACTATGCCTCTGGGGGTGTACCAGACCAGAAAAATACTGCAGATCTCATTTTGTCTGGTCTGGAATGCACTGGAACTGCGGGCAGGTTCACACCATTTTCCAGACCAGATCTGACCAGAAAAGCTGGCCGCACACTGGATTCTGCTGGAATAGTTTTATTGAATCTTGTGACACATAGTACTATGTGTCCCCAGTTTTTTACAAACATTGGAGTAATCAGCTGCACACAGAGATTTGGTAAATATCACAGATATTCACTGATCCTCTGCTCGGCTACACACAGAGCCACTGTCATCCTGAAACTGGATTTTTTTGTTAATGGACTTGCTTCTATTTTCCCGGCCGTGCCCCTTATAATCTGTCGGGGAGGAGAGATTTGAACAAAGTGATTTTAAGCCTCACCTCAGTGGTGGATCAGATGGGGTGCCACCCACCGCACTAAAAGAAAAGAGCACAGAAGCGGATCTAAAGACACTGATCCACCACAGAGCTTCATTACACAGCAATATATTATAAATGCAGAGTACAGAGGCCAGCGGTGTGACGCAGAGTACTGTCAGCGTTCCACCCTGACTTTACTGGTTTGCAGCCTTCTGGCTTGGCTGCCATTTTACTCACCTGTGTTTCCTTCTTTGCCTGAGCAGACTCTAACGTTGCTCACTACTCCCAGGCTCCCTCTTATCGCCAGACAGGAGAGCATCATCTGAGAGAGTCAGATGGGAGTTTCCTGTCTCTGAGTGATGATGTCACCCCACTCACTATATATAAACCACTCAGTCCAGTCTGACCTTGCCCTTGCGTGGTCTTCCTGCTAGTGCATTCCTGCTGCTCTGAGTAGCCTGGTTCTGTATATGACCCAATCCTGGTTGACGTTCTCTTCTGGCTCCTGCTCCTAGCTTGTTCCGGACGACCCTGATCTCCGTGTTCCTGACCTGGCTTGAACGACTAACCACTCCGGCTCCTGACTTTGGCTTCTTCCGGTTTATGATTCTGCTTGCTCCTGTGGACACTGTTCTTAATAAATATTTTAACTAGCACCTTTTGCTTGTCTGGTTTTCATTGTGCTCTGACAAGTACAGAGACCAGGGGTGTGACGCAGAGTACAGAAGTCAGTAACAACGCAGAGGTCAGTGGTGTAACACAGAGTGCAAAGGTCAGCTGTGTGACGCAGAGTACAGAGCTCAGCTGTGTGACGCAGAGTACAGAGCTCATTTTATTTGACGCAGAGTACAGAGCTCAGCTGTGTGACGCAGTGTACAAAGGGTCAATGGTGTAATGCAGAGGTCATAGGTGTGACACAGAGTGCAAAGGTCAGCTGTGTGATGTCCAGTACAGAGGTCAGCGGGGGGTGACACAGAGGTCAGCGGTGTGATGCATAATAGTTGATCTGATTAAGGTGCTCTGTCCCTATGCCCTCTTCCTCTCTTGGTGTGTGTGGGAGGGTGTGTGTTTGGCTTGGGGGGCAGCGATGTTTCCTCACGTTGACAGGTAAAAGACTCCAGCAGCCTCCTTGTCCCCTGATTTCAGCCAGCCAATAGTAGCTCTGCAGTCTCCCTCCCAGTCTATAGCAGCTGAAGTAGGTGAAGGAAGCTGCAGGTGGTTGCAGAGGAGCCCGAACACTGAAAGGGCTGTAGAAAGGCAGCCGAACCACTAGCTTCTCTCCTCGACCACCTGCAGCTTTCTCCCCAACTTCAGCTACTATAGAGGGGAGAGCTGCAAGAACGATCGCTGCTGCCGCGGCGGCTTGTCACACACAACCCAAAGGTTGAACTGGATGGATCTGTCTCTTTATTCAACCTTAACAATAGCAACAATAATCTCTATGGAATCCATCAGTAAAAAAATTATCTAATTTGTTCATTGTGTATATTCACCTACCATTCTGTGGCTCCAAGACTCTTACAGAACAAGGACGCTGGTTTTGCTGGACATCACCTCTTGACTCATCAACATAAATGTATCTGCAGCCAAACTCCATGTCAGACACCTGGAATAAAGCTCAAGTAAGTACACAAACAAACCTAGAAAAATCAACTGAACAGTTAAACTAGATCAATGAAATGTGTTTCACTGGAACAGGGTTGGGACAACTAAGCACGCTGTAGCATTCCTGCAAGGTTATATTTTCAATAGAAATCGTTTGCTGTGGTTTTATTTTCATTGATAATTCTTTAATCCATGACTAGCAAAAGTATACCTTCCAGCTTTGTGAGATGGTAAAGGCAGACACCGAACAGCAATAATGTATGTATGCAAAGGAGACACCACCGCCACACCCCCAGGTACATAGTCCATGAAGAATGAATACATAAACAATGCCTGGGTAAGCCCTTGTTAACGACTCCCAGAGGCCCTTTAAGGGAATCTTAACACTGGGAGGTGGAGGCTAGACATGTGCGATTCGTTTCGTTACGAATCGAAATTCGTACGAATTTTCCTGATATTCCGAATTTCGGAGCATCCGAAATCCGAATGGCAGTTTCCGAATTATATCCGAAATACGAAATTCCGTTAACGAATTTCGGATCCGAATTTCTTTGAAACAGGAACTAATATTACCCCTGTAAACGAGGTTGAACAACATGACAAGATTTTTTTTAATCCGAGATACGGATCCGCTGCTGCTGATGCATTACAATACACAGGCAGGAAATACCAAATTCCGTTTTTTCGTTCCGTTACGAACAT